CCTGGTGATTGGCCCAAAGTCACCCAACTGACTTTCATGCCTAAGGCGGGACTAGAACTCCCAGTCTTGTGCTGATTGGCCCAAAAGTCACCCAGCCAGCTTTCATGGGACTAGAACTCAGCATCTCCTGGTGATTGGCCCAAAGTCACCCAGCTGATTTTCATGCTTAAGGCAGGACTGGAACTCACAGTCCCCTGGTGATTGGCCCAAAAGTCACCCAGATGGCTTTCAGGCCTAAGGTGAGACTAGAACTCACAGCCTCCCGGTTTCTAGCCTGCTGCTTAAAGCACTGGCTCTCAATGCCAGGCTAGGGGGATGGAAATTCTAACTCCGTGTTTTGCAACCTTGGCAACTTTAAGGCATGTGGACTTCCACTCCCAGGAATTAGGACATTTAGATAAATAAACTTTTATCTCCCCCAGACACCGAAGAAGTGGTCGTTGGCGAACCGGACGGGGAAGTGTCCCTGCGATGCTGGAATGCATCTTCTCAAGTCTTGGCGGTCCAGTGGTTTCGCGGTGAGCTGGGTGAGATTCCCATGCTCCTCTCCTCCGACGGAAAGCTGCCTTCGGACAGCCGCTTTTCCCTGGTGGGAAACAGCTCCCTGCACATTTCGGGATTGCGTTTGGAGGACGAAGGTCATTACGTGTGCAGGGAGATCCTGGCTGAGACCAACCATACCCACAGGACCCAGTTACTGATGGCCGGTAAGTCTTCCTTCATCTTAGATTAGGGTGACTTAATACTTAGCAGTCTTCCAACACTAGAGCAGCTGTCATAGAGAAGAGGAGGTCACCCTATTCTCCAAACCACCCAAGGGCAGGACAAGAAGCAACAGATGGAAACTAATCAAGGGGAGAAGCAACTTAGAACTAAGGAGGAATTTCCCAGCAGTGAGAACAATTAATCCGTGGACCGTCTTGCCTCCCAGAAATTGTGGATGCTCCATCACTGGAGGATTTCAAGAAGAGACTGGACAGCCAAGAGACTGGACAGCCATACCAAGGTGGTATGGGGTCGCCTGCTTGAACAGGTCCCTTCCAACCCTATTATTCTATGTTCTATAACAATCTGGGTGAAACTAACATAAATTATGATGAATTGGAGTGGGTGCTCCATCACTGGAGGATTTCAAGAACAGGCCAGACAACCATTTATCCAACATGGTATGGGGACTTCTGCTTGAGCAGAGTCATGCCCCTGTCAGAGTCTGAATCCAAACAACTGAGAGGGAGAAGGGAGTGTGGCTCCATTGGCTGTGGAGGAAACTGGGCAAGGGCAAAGTCCGGCTGGGCAGAGCAGGGAAGATGTAGAACAAGGGAGAGGGAGTTCAGAGGAAGACCCAGGCCCACGCCTTCTTCATCCTAGGGCACACAGGGTGGAACGGAGAAGGGAGCAACATGGGTTGTGTGGCTTACGGGGGAGGAAAGGGCCCTGATTCCCTTCATTAGCCACACCTGGGAATGAGAGTTTAAAAGAGATACATGCTGAGTGCGACATCTGCTGGGAACAAACATGAGTTTATCTTGTGTTGACTTTGGTTATCTGTGTTCCTGGCGTCTTCCCAACCGTGTTGAGTTATTGCCGTTCCTTCACGTCTGGAATTCTTGCTCCTGCCCTGCCGGACTAATTACCTCAGTTTGCCCTGATTGGACTTATAGTTACAGTTTTTGTTGACCACATTTTGGACTTGATTCTCTGCAGCCCAAGGCTGTTCCTGGGAGAGTTTTTTCTCCAGCCCAGAAGGCAACCAGGACATTGGGAGCAAAGTTGGAGCTAATAAAGGGACTCCTCTTGATGATCTGACCGTGTGGCCTTTGTCCCACGCCCCTTTGGGTCATCACAAGCAAGGGGTTGGACTAGAAGACCTCCAAGGTCCCTTCCAACTCTGCGATTCTGCAACTTCTACTCCTCGAACAGGACAAGTTTGCCATTTCTGCAAACTTACTTACACCGGCACTTACTCAATCCCTTCCACAAGATTTCCGCATTCTCCCAGTGTTGTGCGCACAATAACCTTGCTGCAATTCCCAGATACAAGCCCTTGTTCCAGCTTCTTATTTGCTTTCAAGGTGTGGCTGGCCGGTAGTTCTCGTGTTCGCTTGTGGAAAGCGAGAGCCGCACCCCTTTTAACCGGTGCACAACAGCATCTACCACACGGGGAGGATTTGTAGGTGTGCAATCCAGGTCATCCTTGACTTGTGACTTGTGCAATTGAGACCAGGAGATTCCTTGCTTTAGGAAAGCGGTTCATGCTGCAGTGATTTGCTTAACAATCAGGGCACAAAAGGTCATTAAAAAGGATTCTTTTATCTATCTTATCTTATATGTTCTAAACATGATGAGACCATCGTGGCATGCCAGGGTTCCCTCTTTAAATTCAAATAAGAAAACAGGTCAGGAAGTTTATTAGGTGTATTGGAAACTGTCTGCCACCGCCTCAATTCCCATGGGGGGGGCTTCATTGCCAGGAGTTGTCCTTGGCTCAGATCCTAGCTGGCTACGGCCACCTGCTCCTGGTAACTCTGTCTGCTGTTGTGGTTGTGGAGAAAAGCTTTGCTTAGCCTGTTGAGGTTATGCCCGCTTCACCGGGAAGCTACAACTAGTTCAAAATGTAATATTGGTTGTCTTGGATCACCATCGAGCCCAAAATTTCCATTGCTAAATAAGACAGACTGTATTACTATTCTTCTTCTCATCCTTCCTATTACCTACCTCTTCCACCTTATGACTATAACCGTGTTGCATGTTTCTTTACAACTTATATTGTTATTTTTGTTTCCTCGTATGATTTGATTGCTTATTAGTAACCTATGACTATCACTAAGTGATTCTTTAACACTTTTATTTTGATCTGCTTGCTTTCCAGGTGGTCCAGACCAGATGGAAGTCAGCATATCTCCCACCGGGACATTGCCAAATGGCACACTTTATGCCAAAAGACACGACGTCTTGAACTTCACCTGCAGCAGTGACACTTGGCCAGATTCGGCCACTAAGTGGGATTTTAACCCGCTTGGTTCTGCGCAGGAACCGTTCACCGAAGTCAACAGCTCACGGAGTTCATTCGTGCTACAGAACGTCATGCCCAACTACCAAGGGAATTACTCATGCCTGGCCACCAACCTGTTGAGCCAGCATCAGAAGTCCGTCATCCGTGAACTCCTGGTCTACTGTACGTAGGACGAAAAGTATTGGCAGTAGGGGAGCGTGCATGGGTGTCATTTTTCCCAGGGGAATGTTGCATTTCTGGAAACGCACAGAATTGTTGGCTCTATGCCTTTTCTCTTAAGGAATCATTTCCTTGAAGCATTTAAAATGATTTAAAGCATTCGACATGTGGAATTAAAACAGCTTGAAGAACTAAATGATAACGGACAGAAGCTTACCAGAGAGAGAGCCAAACCAGTGGTGGGATTCAAATTTTTTTAGATACTGGTTCTGTGGCCGTGGCTTGGGCGTGGCAAGGGAAGGATACTGCAAAATCCCCATTCTCTCCCCACCCCACTAACCTGCTTTCCAGCTCTGTTCTCCTGGGCAGGGCAACCAAAGAAGAACCCAGCCAATTGGCTGAGACTCAGGATGCAGAGAATAGATGGGCGAGGGGGGGGGGCAATCAGAGGTGGCATTGGCCGGTTCTCTGAACTACTCAAAATTTCTGCAACCGGTTCTCCAGAACTGATCAGAACCGGCTGAATCCCACCTCTGCTTCTTTCCCCTTTTTGTTCCTCTCTTCCTTCCCCTTTCCTTCCTCTCTTCTTTCCAAGTGGTAGGATCCAAATTTTTCACTACTGGTCCTGTGGGCATGGCTTGGTGGGCGTGGCTTGGTGGGCGTGACAAGGGAAGGATACTGCAAAATCCCCACCCCACTAACCTGCTTTCCAGCTCTGTTCTCCTGGGCAGGGCAACCAAAGAAGACCCAGCCGATCAGCTGGGACTTGATGGGAGGCAGAGAAGAGATGGGGTTGGTGGGGCCAGTCGGAGGTGGGATTGGCCGGTTCTCCGAACTACTCAAAATTTCTGCTACTGGTTCTCCAGAACCGGTCAGAACCTGCTGAATCCCCAACTCTGGACCAAACCTACTGTAGAACTAAGGAGGAATTTCCTGATAGGGAAGAATGATTAATCAGTAGAAAGATTTGCCTTCAGTTTTGGTTGCTCCATCATTGGGGGTTTTCAAAGAGAGACTGAACAACCGTTTGTCAGAGATGTGGTGAGGGTCTCCTTGCTTGAGCTGGAGGTTGGACTAGAAGACCTCCCAGGGTCCCTTCCAACTCTATTATTCTGTAGATAAAAAGGACCAAGGCACAAACAGGAGGGAGGTGGGATCTTCTCCTAATCTACTTGGTGGTTCCACAAAGGCCAGTGGGGTAGTTGGCAAAGAGGTCCTAGCAGGTGTTCTGAACTACAAAGTCTATCGTCCCCAGCCATTAATTCTGCTGAAATCCAAATCCCACCTCATCTTCTCCCCCAAAAAGTTCCTTATTGTCTAAGTTTGCTTTTCACGAGATTCTGTTTCTGCTTTCTCTCCTCAATCTCTTGTGCTCCAGCCAGTAGAAATCTCTTTTCTGTCATGGTCAGAACTGATCCTAGGTCCCTATTCTATATATATAAAAGCAAAAGTCCACTCAGGCATCATCACAAAATCTCTAGAACCGTAAAGCCTACAAACTTGAAATTTGACACGTAGGTTCCTCTTGGCTTCTAGGTGCTCGCTAAGAAA